TGTCCACTCAGGGTCCAGAATGTGGCACCCCTCTTGTCTCTAATCCTCTGTGTCGGTTCTGAAATTCTGGGAATCAGGATCACCAGCCCGCTGCATGCTTGGGCAGATCTCTTACACAGGTGTAGGCATCTAAGACAACCATTGGCCTAAGGGGTTACTCTCCTTAATAATCTCCTCCCTCCCCCCCGCCCCCCCCACCAAGAACAGTCACTATGGTACCATTTTATCAGCAGACATCTGGCAATCCTTGGTGGTAAAGCAGGAAAGAAGGGTCTTACTGGTGTAGTGTAAGAAACCATATTTTCTTCTGTCTGCATTAGTGTTATCTCAGAAAACACACAGTCTGCTTTTGTTTCCCAACAAGGTTTGCAAAATAGTCAGTCCATGGCTTTCAGTCTAGGTCCCATGGCAAGATCATGCTTAATATAAGAAGTAGAAGCCATTATATCAGCAGAGAGACGCTTGAAGAGAAGTATGTGTTTAGGAAGACAGATAAAATGACATCTATTTTTAAAAGAAAATTATAAAGGAAGTATTTTATTGATCTTGCAGTATGTTATAAAGTAACGTATGAATGTAAGATTTTATTGGGTACTATATTAAACTGACAACATATTCAAAAAAAATTACTGTGCTTGTCAGTAATGAAGATAAATAGGATAAAAGGAAAGAACATTTGTATTTTGTAAAGTATCATTTTATAAAAATAGTTTTGCTCATGCAACTTACCTCTAGTATTTAAAAAGGCACCTCAGTCTTTTAATACAGCATTTTGTCTCATATCTTGATTATGGAACCATTCCATAATGGGGTCATGTTATACTACAGAAAGACTATGCCTGTGCCTGAGGGTAAAGATAAGAAATGAGAGAGAAGCTGTGCAAAAGAAAACATCAGTAATAGCCTATCCCCCCTTACTTTGTACAGCTTGCAATGTACTTGATTCTCCCAATTTGGTTTTATGTCAATATAAAATATGTTGGATTCAATACAATGATTTACACTAGTCTGAGTGACAGGAGAACAGGCCAAGTAACACAAAGTGAGTAAAAATTAGAACAACAGAATGAAATACTGGCCTTATTAAAGTCAATCTAAAAACTCCAATTGACTTCAAGTGAATAACAGGACACATTCAGGGTACTTGATGCACAAAAGCTTTTCCAACAGTTCTCTCAACTATAGTTAGCCCAATAAAAGATATTAAAAAAAACCCTGGCCTCAAGGACATTTCTTGGACCATCCTGGCAACAATAGCACTCCAACTCTACTATAACACGACTCAAGACAGTGGATAATCAAACCTTACAGAAACAGTTGTTAAAGAACAGCTTGGCTTTTGATGGAAGCCAATATCAACCATCTTTAAAATATCTCTCATTTGATCCCATTTGCAGTAAGCTATACATAGCATATTGATGAAATTGCAAAAATGGATTCTATATAAAGTGGGCAATTTTTGTCACTTTGGCCAACTACAGACAATACAGATTAATAGTATTTTGCCATGAACGGATTAGTAGGAGATGCCACTAATGGAATAGCAGGGAATAAGCAACAGAAAAATGAAACAGACCTCTCCTACAAGAGTAGGAAGCAGGACTCAAACTGAAACTGAGTAGACACATACGTCAGGGTGAGACAAACATATAATACAATTTATCTTTCCTTTCCCATTTACACTGGCAATATGACATACACAAAAATCACATCTTGTTTAACATGACACAGGATCTAAACATATATATTGCATTCAATGGTAAGAGATCTCATAGTAATTATATTATATGACTGAGGTTTATTCCCACTGCCATTGAAAGCAGCCACCTGGAATAGCATACACTGCTTGAATTCAGCCTTAAATTCTATGCTTACAATTGCCCAGATCATCTCAATATTTTTGCCTGGACCAGCATATACACCTCTAATAGCTCTTTTTGGTCTTTCCTCCTTGTACATTTCCAAGTACATTTTCCTCCATCACTTTATCTTTCTTCTATACTCACCTACTTTGTGCTTAGACTACAGTCTGAAAAATGAATTCCCTTTATAATCATGACCTACCTGCTATAGAAACTCAGCTTCACTACCACTGAATGAAACACTTCTGTTGACTTCAGTCAGTGCAGGATTATATCCTACCTGACGAAGTGCACGGTTCCATATTTTCATTCAGGGTATACACAACTTGCCATAGCACAAAACTTCCATCCCAATTGTATTTTTAAAAGCGTCTAACTGCTTTGCCCTAGCACAGTAAGATAAATGAGTATAATATTTATGTAATTTTTCTAATATGCCCATACAACGATTAGTCTTAACTTCATACAAAAAATCTGTCTTTTCATGCAAATTTTGCTTTGTCACAAAATATTTTTCCTTAACTAAAAGCTAAATCCAGTAAAGGATTTAGGTGCCTAAGCCCAGAATTGCAGCCCAAAACCATGCAGCTCAGCTACTGCCTAATTCTGGATGCGTCTGAAATCAGTAGACACCTCCTCAGTTAACTTGACATTTTGCCATACATCTGTGATTTTTTTTCTGTACTTGCCCAGAACTGTCCCAGTCTGAAGAGCCCAGAACCTCTGTCAGCATTGTAAGATCATTTGGGATGCTTGTATGCCTTTCCCTAAATCATTTAAGAAACTAGAAGACATTCTTCTGTATGCCTAGCATAAGCTGACACATTTGGTCCCCCTCACAAAAGTGTCAGTGGCCACTTCCTCGTAAGACAGTGGTGATGGGCTTTTTTTATACAATAACCTAGCGATTAGAGCACTACCCTAGGAAATGGAAGGCTTAGCTTTCCTCCTCAATCTAAGGAGATTCATTTCATATCTTCCATCTACCAGGAGACAGACCCAGTCATCAGGCTATTCAAAGGAGGGGGAACTGTCTTTTACTGCTTTTGAAACTGTGCTACTTTGCAGAAAGAATTCAAAATCATGGGGCCAGAGAAAGAACACAGAAATATAACTTTTCAGCCCAGCAGCTGCCAAACTCACATGCAAGGGGAGTCCCAGGTGCCCCTATAATGTCAACCTATAAAGTATCTTTTAATTTTTTCACTCTCAAATAATTTTCTCATCAATAGAAAAATGCAATGATGAAGGTTTACAGTAGTATACCTAGGTCTAAGTACAGACATTCAGAGGGATTAGGGGGAGGTTAGATCAGGTTCAAAATGGCCACCCAGCATAACTTACTTCACCCTGGGTGTGGGCCTTTTGCTCATATCTAGTCTTAGTGATAGGAAACCAATCCAAACTAGGGATGTTAAAGGTTAAATGATTAATTGTTAAACCAATAAGTGCAATGATAACTAGTTAGCTTACCAGTAATCATTTAGCTTGGTATGAGCACAGTCTGGCATGGAAGGTGGGAAAGGAAGCCACTTGGTGCCCCAGCAGGAATCAGAAGGCAGGAGGGAAGGGATGAGGTGAGAAGGGACAAGGAGAAATCGTACCCATAGCCTAAAAGGGGGCAGCCTAATGACTCATCAGTTAAACAATTAGCTGCTCATTCACAGGTACTTCCTATCTCACAGCACAGGGCTCCGCATGGGCTGTGTTGTTGGGCTGGGCTCCCCACTACCT